AGNNCNNCNTGATTTCGGATTTCCTGTTCAATTTAAATGCCTAGAAGATTCTATTGGAGATGGTAGTTTGTCATACATACAGTCTCCCCAAAGTAAAAATCGCAGATTTATGCTTTTTCATATGTTTTGTGTTTTTTTCCTTTATCTTTTTCTTTTCTAAGTGTGATCCATAACTCTACAGAACTCCAAATCTGTAGAGAATGTCTGCATCTCACGCTTCCGCCACCACTGACTCCCTCTTCCTAGCCTCGGAGGCCAAAACCCCTTCTGAGGCCATATCAATCCTCTACGGCGTGCTCGAGGACCCATCATCCTCCCCCGAAGCCCTGCGCATCAAAGAACAAGCCATCAACAACCTTGCAGACCTCCTCAGGCAGGAAGGCCAGGCCCACGACCTCCAAAGCCTCCTTACCAAGCTCCAGCCTTTCTTCTCCCTCATCCCTAAGGCCAAGACAGCCAAGATCGTCCGCGTCATAATCGATGCCGTGGCCAAAATCCCCGGCACATCTGACCTCCAAATCTCCCTCTGCAAGGAGATCGTCCAATGGACTCGTGCCGAAAAACGGACCTTTCTCCGCCAGAGGATCGAGGCCCGACTAGCGGCCCTCCTCCTCGAGAACAAGGAGTTTCCGGAAGCCCTCACTCTCCTCTCAGGCCTCATCAAAGAGATCCGCAGGCTCGACGACAAGCTCTTGCTCGTCGAAATCGACCTCCTCGAGAGCAAGCTCCATTTCTCGTTACGAAACCTCCCAAAAGCGAAAGCCTCGCTGACCGCGGCCCGCACGGCAGCGAACGCGATTTACGTGCCTCCAGCTCAGCAGGGAACGATCGACTTGCAGAGCGGGATCCTCCACGCAGAGGAAAAGGACTACAAGACGGCTTACAGCTACTTTTTCGAGGCTTTCGAGGCTTTCAACGCCCTCGAGGACCCGCAGGCAATCTACAGCCTCAAGTACATGCTGCTGTGCAAGATCATGGTGGGCCAGGCTGATGACGTGGCGGGGATCATATCGTCACCAAAGGTGGGGCTGCAGTATCAGGGGCCTGAGCTGGACGCTATGAAGGCTGTGGCCGGGGCCCACGCCAAGCGTTCGCTGAAGCTCTTTGAAACGGCCTTGCGTGATTTCAGGTGCCAGCTGGACGAGGACCCGATCGTTCACAGGCACCTCTCGTCGCTGTACGATACACTTCTTGAGCAGAACCTGTGCAGGCTGATCGAGCCCTTCTCGAGAGTGGAGATTGCACACGTGGCTGAGCTGATTGAGCTGCCAGGTCAGCATGTGGAGAAGAAGCTGTCGCAGATGATCCTGGACAAGAAGTTTGCGGGTACCCTGGACCAGGGGGCAGGGTGTTTGATCATATTTGATGATCCGAAGACGGACGAGATTTATCCGGCGACTTTGGAGACGATCGCGAACATGGAGAAGGTCGTGGACAGTCTTTATGCGAGGTCGGCTAAAATAATGGCTTGAGGGGGGGACTCTGTGTGTTGTGGGATTTTGGAGAACTTTTGACTCTGCTAGTAACTTTCGTTTTTCTTTACATCCGTTGGATTGAAATGTGGATTTATTATATGATTTTCGTTTTGATTTTTGGTGATTCTGTTTTAGATTGCACTTGTGTATTTCGAGCAGTTGAATTGTTTTGATTTTTGGTGATTCTGTTTTAGATTGCACTTGTGTATTTCGAGCAGTTGAATTGTTGTGTTGTGCCGTGATTCGAACTTAGTCTTGTGGGGCTCTGTGGTATCGTAGATGGATTCTGTTACTGGGCAAATGAGGACTCGTTATGGAAGAATGTGATTTGTTGTGAAGATTGATGTTGTGTTGTGGGATGAATGCCTAATTGCATGGATGAAATGATCTGGTAATTCAGATGCAGGCTATTGTTTCAATGAACGGTCAAGATAGCAGGACGCATGATAGAAGCAATTGAGAAGTTCAAAAAGTGAAAATTAAATGGTCAAATTATAACCTGGAAGGAAGGATGGTAAAAGGTGTTAGGTTGAGGGTGTAAGCATTTCAGAACTTATTAATAAGCTTCTCCAAATGCTCATGTTGTTAAAATGGAGGATGCCATCTTCTCTCGAAAATCATATCTTTTTCATAAACTTCTCCAAAAGCTTACAAGTTACTATTAAAATGGTGCAGCATGTCATTCTCTCTCTAAAAGCTTCTTTCTATAAAACCAGATGGGTCTTTTCTATTACTAATTTGGCACATGCACTTTTAGCCTACACAGCTGTATCATGTAATTTCATTTCTCATGTATTTCAAGGTCTCCTTTTTCTTATGCCAACCTACGAACTTCAAGAAAATCTTATAATATACATAAGCTCGTAAGCATCCATAACAAGCCTCTTCGGCAATTCCACTTACATCTACAGTGAATCATTTCTGCGGGTGAAAGGAAAACGAAGAAGAAAAGAAGTGAACAGGAACTCATTGGTGCAAAAGGTTCAATCTGCTTGTCACCTTCTCTTAAAACTTTCAGCTGGGTACAAATGTAATTTGGTCCACGCCAAGAGAGAAGATTTAAGCACCATAAAAGAAGTTTCAGCGGGAAACATAGAACTATATGTCACAAACACAAGCTCATGGTCTCACAAAAAATGGGGATTGCAAAGTAGTGACTCGTCCGAGAGACCAGAGAATCATAACAAAGTAAAAATAATTGCCCCATCAACGCCCAGAGAAAATGCATAACAATTTTTAATCTTTTCGTAAGAGAGAGGATATATTGCTTAAGCTATAGGTCACTACAACTTAACCTCCCATAGCCATAGCCATAGGGCGTATGTATAAGCAAACATAGGTTTTGACATCTCAAACTTCTACCATAGGGAGAGGAGAGGTTTTTTTACTTGTTTGGTTGGGAAATTTGGATAGGAAGGGAGCGAAAAATTTAACTTAACATTTTAACTTAAAATGCCCTCTCCTTCCCATTATTGCTCCCATTCAAAAATGGGAGAATACATTCAATTACAATTCTACCTTTATTATATATAATGTTTTAGTTTTTATTTCTAACATCATTAAAGATATACTAGTACGTGGCCCGTGCGACGCACGGGAAAATAATATTTTGATTGTATTATAAATTAAATAAATAAATAACATTATTCATGATTTACCCATTATTTATAAATTAAACCGGGTTGGACACAGTCCGACCGGATGGACCGAGAACCTGTTTATAACCGATTTAGTGCGTTTGAATAAAATATTTGCTATCGAATCCGCCAACACCAGTATGTTGGACTGGTAAGATCGATACAATTTTCTAAACAAATTTTGTTACATGAAAAAATATTTTAAATAAAATTACATATTTAAATAAAATAGAGATTTATAAATTGTTTATCAATTAGTTTAAACATTTGAATTTATAAATTGTTTAGATATTTAAGTAACACTTTCTATTTAAATTTATTACAAAAAGTACTATATATATATATATATATATATATATTAAAGTATTATGTATTAAAATCTGAACAACCACAAGACGGTGCGATTCTGAAAACCTTATATTTACCGTACATTAATAAAAATGATAATGAAATAAATATTTTGTTCACATAAATAATAATAAAATGATATATAAATGTTCATAAATCATTAATCATGTTGTCATAAAAGTATTGTTAATATGATTATTTGAAGTTTGGACGACATCACATTCACGTAATAAAGTATTTTCAATATTAAAATTTATATTTAGGTTTAATAATCAATTTGGTCTGATCAAACAGATACATAACTTAATTACCTCGGACCAACCAAGTTATGTCAAGTTTTTTGACTATTTTAAATATCACCTAAAAGTAATTCAATCAAAGTGGGCAGTACCCTAATTCAATCACCCGATTGATCCAAAGTAATTTCCTTATTTTCTTTAAATATAATATTTAATTTTATGAAATAAAAATATTTTATGATTCATATGTCTACACCAAATGATAGTATATTAAGATTATAAATTATATATCCAAAGATGAACTATTTATTTTTATTTTATGCATATTAATAAAAAATAAACATAGTAATTTTAAAAAAATTAAGATTAATTGATTGGGTATGCAATTTAAAAAATATTTTTAGCGTTCAATATATATATATATATATATATATATATTTAACATGATTGAATATTTGGATTAGAATATATATATTTAAAATAATTTTATTATTAAAAGTCAAAAGGAAAAGATGTCATAAAGATTACAACTTTGAAAAGTTTGTAACCATTAATTTATGAACCCTCCGATTTTAAATGACTTATAATTTTTGAAACATGATACGTGCATTTAAAACCCATTAATTTAGGAACCATCTAATTTTTTGATAATGAATTAAAATTAAAATGTAAAATGTAAAAGTTGCTGAAAATAGTATATAATAAATGTGGTTGACTTTTCCTTACTACTATTTATGGTAAATGTTAATTCTTATTATATATATATAGATTTGTTATTCTAACATTATTTTCACTCCCTTTTCGTTTTCTTATCAAAAAAGATTTATCATTTTCCCCTAATTCTCCTTCCATACAAGGTAAAAGTATATTACATCACCCCCTTTCCCTTTTCTCCTCTCCATTAAAATCCCTTCCTTCTCTTTCTCTCTTTTGAACCAAACATACCCGAAATAAACCAGAGAAAGTCAGTATTGTCCGTACAAATGGGTCACACAAAACTTTTCTAAGTTATACGGGCAAAGTGCCACGAAAAAAAATTAAGTGGGTAAAATGAAAAAAAAGGCGTATATTTAGGTGGAAACATTTAATTTTTGTCTTACTAAAACGCTAAAAAGCCAATTTTGCTCTTACAAGCGGGCCACGGTGAGCAGAAATTACTTAATTGTATTTTTTTTACAAAGTTATATGGGCAAAATCACGAAAAAACGTTGAGTAAAATTTAAAAAAAAAAAAAAAGAAAAAAAATGTATAATTAGGAGGGTAAAGCTCTCTTATATATATTTTATGTGTTACACAAATACATTTTTAATAAATATTAAAATGGGAATGGGCTGTGATAGTGGATACTACATGTCATCCGTTAGGTCATGTATGACAGCAACAAGAGCGGTTCAAGTGGATCGGTAGGTTGACCAGAGAATGTACAATAAGAAGACTCGAGGTCACTAGAGTATCAGGTCGATGATAATCTCCGAAGCTAGAGCAGTTCAACAACAGATTGAGCTAGAACTCTTAGTTAGCCTAATGGAAACTCAACCTGTAAAGTGAAGAGGTCGATGTAAGACCTAAAAAGCGAACTTAGTCATTGAAGACTAGAACTACCCAGTTCATGGGAATTGAACTGACAACACAATTATGCTTACAAGCAACTACCTAATGAGGTAGATTAGTGTGAACACACAAGATAACGGATAAAAGCGAATATAATTAGGATAAGGTCATGTGGATAGGTGTATGCGGCTAATAGAATTGAGCAGTTCGGGCACTCGGGCAGTGTGATTGGGTAGTTCGGGCTCGAGCAACTAGATTTGCAAGATCTTGGACAACAAAATATGATCATCATCACTCTACACACTTTGAGTATTCTAAATACAAATACATTTGTATATAGTTCATCTTCATCCTTGTTTACTGACTTGAGTGTCGGAACTTCTACACCAAGACAACCCTCGACACTGTTTTGCAGGTAATTTCAGCGATTTTAAGCACGATTAAAGAGGCGTTTGTTTGTCCCATTTTTGTTGCGTTTTTCCTTGTTATTTTTCCCTTATTTTTCCCCCATATTAGTTTTTTTAGTTAGTCTTTATCTCGTTTTGTAGTTTATTGCGTGTTTTCCTCTATCTTGATTTTTCTTGTGTTTTCCGTAGGTTTTTCCGGTTTTTCTTGTTTTTGGTGTGCAGGTCAGAAGCCCGTGAGGAAAAAATTTAAATTGAAAATGGGCTGAGAAATCATGGTTAGATAGATGGGTTCGTTGGCTACAAGTAGGAAAAAGCGGAACTCAATTCCGAATTCAGACGAATCCGAACGGGGCCGAAAAGTAAAGTCCAGCAAGCTGCCGACCGTTTGATGGTTGGATAACTCTAGAGAATTCTACTATTGGCAAAATCTGGTCATGAAAGCATCATTGAATGGAGGGGTTCGTTAGCGACGTGTAGGAAAAAACGGAACTCAATTCCGAGTTCGGACGAGCCCAAACGAGCCCGAAACGCGCAGCAGGGCAACAGTCCCGCGCGCCGCGGCGCGGCAACCCTCAGCGGCGCGACACTGGCCCCCTCCGCGGCGCGGCAACTCCTCCGCGGCGCGACAAGGCCTTCCTCCACGGCGTGAAGCCCCACACGGGCGTACAGAGACTCACGCATCTGCTCCCCGCCACGCCGCGAGACCCCTCCACGCCGCGACACCTTCTTCCTCCACGCCGCGCTGAGTTTCTCCCACGCCGTGATCCGTGACTTGTATAAATATGTGCGGGACTCGATCAAAAAATCATTCTCCC